CCAAAAAACAATATGAGGACTCCCGCTATGCAAGCTACCATTTAGGGGTGACGTCTTGTGAGGTTCTTGTAAACTCACTGAGAATTTCACATAAACATAACACCAGGCCAGAACTGACCCTGTGTACCTATAAAAATATAATGCAAGGGCCTCAATAAGTACCGAAATTCTTTTGAGGTCTATTTCAGGTACCCTATCTAGGCTCCAAAGGTGCGCACAAGACACGAACCCTAAACCCTGAACCCTAACACTAAATAGGAGTTTCCATTTTCATGTTCAGCATCCCTATGTAACCCTATATTACCCTATAAAATCTGAATATAACTACCCTATCCCCCCCCCAGAAATCTATTGCAAGCCTGCGAGGCGATGCCCTTCGAGGCAGTCTCAGGGGTTGCCGAAGCGAGGCTCCATAGCCTGCCACAACTTAGGGTCTAGGGTTTAGGGCTTAGGGTTTAGGGTTCAGGTTAAGGGTTTAGGAAGTTTAGGGTTTAGGGACTTCAGAATGTATCTATAAGACCAACCATACTTCTGAGATCTCATGCCGTTGTCAGCATTAGTATTATGATGAAAACGTACTGTATCGCAGAATATGTATCAGTATATGGTAGAACATATAATGTAGCAAATATGATACACAGTATATCTGATACGTTACGAATGGCCTAAAAAGTTGCGTAGGGGTAAAGGTTTAGGGTTGCTGGTGAGAGGTTTCATGCCTGTACGCTTTGGGGGATGAGAATTTAAGGTTTAGGGGCGGCGGTGGAGGGGTCAGGGTTCGGGATTTAGAGCGTAGGGCTTAGTTCAGGGTTTAGGTAGCTTAAGAAGGGTTCAAGGTCCAGCGACAGAGACATGAGCGGTTTCAGGACCCCAGTAAACTCCTGATAGTTCCTGTAGATCACCCAAAAAAATGCTTTTCCTGAACAACTCTGCTCTGCGTGTTATCTGCACTCCGGGGGCGGTTCGCATAATATGTCGCCCCTTCACTAAGGATACATGCTGCAATGGGACCAAAGGCATCTTCATTCTAGAGGTGTAAATTTCAGAAACAAGCAGTTTGGGATCGTGAGAATTTCTTTGCTCCTCACTCATCTGCAATCAAATTGCTCAGAAGTACCCAAATCTGAAAAGCCTACGGAGAAGACAAATGTATTTGTTAACATGCCAAGAAAAGATAAGAGCAAACATGAACGAAAGTCAAAATGACTAGGCGAAGAGGGCATGCAAGCAAATCAAAGAAGCAGCCTGCTCATCGGCATTGGAGATCCAATGATCGGAGCGTCCGTCGGCGACTCCCTGGCCAAATCTTCGGATTCAGGTTTCGGCTTGATTTTCTCTGATTAGAGCTTGGGGTTTAGCCTTGGGAAGGCCGGAATAGACAGGCCCTGAGGGCCACTGCAGAAGCCCAAGCAATTGCCGATTTCGTTCCCGCAAGCTGCCTCGTGAGGTAGAATTAAAAATTATCATCTGAAATCCAAACTGGAAGAGTCCACGAATTCATCGTTTTCCATCGAAGTCAAGAACTTCCAAGGTTCTTCCTCCCGTTATATGTGCACCTCCCAACAGCTGTGAACCCCAAGACCATAAACAACAAACACCAAACCCGGAGCATGGCTTCGACAGTATGAGCTATAGTCTAAACTTCTAGCATCCCCCTCCATAACCCCTATAACACTCCCCGATTTAATCACCTGTGTAAGCCCCGTTAAGGAGTTTAGACCTTAAGCTCTCAACCCTACATAACCCCCTTCAAGCAGTACTTAGACTATAGCTCATCTAAGCAACAAGGCCTTGGCTACAAGTGCAAGGTCATCTGCCTGACCCAGCCTTCAGGCCGGAAAGTTGCTGTTTAGGGTTTGGGAACTCAGGGTTTAGGGTTTGGGCTTTAGGGTTTTAGGTATTTGAGGTTTAGGGTCTAGGGTTTAAGGTGCGCAGTTTTGGGTTCATACTGTTGATGGACGAAATCCTGCATCAGTTTTCTTCTGCCAGCCTTCCCTGCCAACCCTGAATCTTAATATTGATTAGCGCCAAAATGATCAAAAAGGGCACGTGCGCGAATGACCGAAATCCTGCATGACCTTTATGTGTTAGCAACATTGAGATTAGAGGGGCAGGGGGAGATCAATCGCTGACAACTGTATTCTGTTGATTTAGCAGGTCATGCACGATGTTGTCCATCCACCGTAGTGTAGGTTGTAGGGTGTATGTAGGGTTTACAGTAGGCTTTAGGGCTATGGGTGCGGGATCTAGATTTAAGGCCACAGAGTGTAGTGTAGGAAGGGGTCAGGGCCAGTCACTATGGGTTGAGCTAGTCTAAACTCCTCAAAGGGGATCATAGAGGAGATTACATAGGGGAGTATTATAGCAATGTATTAAGGGTGATTCCTGCAGATCTACACTTTGTGGGCCCCAGCGGAATGATCCCAAATGCACCCAGTGGGGTGTATTTTCTGCCGCTAGAAACGAGAATGCCTCGAATTGATGCTGGCAGTTATGCGCCCTATATACTCCCTCTCTTTACGGCGAGGGATTGTTGGGAGGTAAGCGAGGGGAATCGAATTTATGTGGGGCTTCCGCACTTTCTAAATCTGGAAGTTCCCTCGAATGTGTCCCACGAAGATAAAAGCTCTTCACCATCAAATGCAAGAGACAGGTCTGGCTTTCAGAATCTCAACCAAGAGCGTTGAAATGGAAATTCCAATCTCTTTTTTTGGTTTCTGGTGAGATGGTAGAGGCGAATAAGACATCCGCATGCCTTCGGACAGAAATTCTCAATGAGTGGAACACTTTATTCAAATGAGCTGTGATCAAAACTCCTTACGCCCGGCATCCCCGAGAAAGTCCCTAAACTTCGCGCACTTTGCATATGTGCCAGCCCCCCTGGGGAATCCCCATTTAAACCCCAAACAATCACTCTCCTTGCCCCCATAGACAGTCTGTAGAACTCCCACATAATTTATTACGTGGACTATACAAACAGAAATCTCATACGGCATAGCTTCGAGAACAGAAAGAAGCACTTTCGGGAAACCTAGGTGAGCTCCGTGCATCCGAAGTATCTGCAATAATGATTAAAGTGCTTCGTACGCGGGTTTCCCTAAGCTTTCTGATGCCAAAACGTGTGACACGTATGTAGGGACCCGTATTCAAAAACAAAACTATGACCCTCATTCTACCACTTCAGGGAAAGCCCTGTAAGCACCAAACCATTCAAATCCCAGCACTATGAGGATTGTGCTGCTGGGGTTACGTCAGACTGCGTTCTTCTTGCAAAGCATCACAACCCAAAGCCAAATGCTGCTACCCCATTCTGGCTGATAACCTAATGTGGAATCCTACTCATATGGGGGTTGCTCAGAATGATCCCTGGATATTCCCTAAGGGGCGAACCACTACATATCCCTAGAATCTCCAAGGGCTCCACATTTGAAGAAACCCATACCATATGGCCCAGATGCAGACAAGAAACAGAACCAGCTCCCCACAATCTCGACCGCGGAGTTGGCCATTGTACAGATACTCCTGCTTCATGCTATTGAGGGGCGTAGTCTATTTGGGATTGGGCCCCCTAAAGGTGTTTCGTTTGCTCCCCTACGTCTACTACTGAACCACGAATATTCCTCTTAATGATATCATGTTGGGGGCGGGGGGGGGTGAGATTGCTTCTAGATAGCTGACTGACTACCAGGATTTGAAGAATCGCACAAGGCTTTACAATTTACAGTTATCACAGATGTGTATCTGCATATCTACTTGCCATCAGTCTTCCTGCAATCACCAAGGCGTGCACCACACTGTCTTGTCTCTACTATGACTTCTTTGAGCGAAGTCCTTGCCCATGAGCTTCTGGTGCCACTCGATGAGCATGCGCATCATGGTTGTTGGAGTGGAGAATCCGAAGGCCCTTGCGGAGTACAAGGATCCCCTGGACGGGAAGCTGAAACAATATGAACCGCCAACCATGAAACCTGCCCATGGAACAGCCAACATTGCACCTCAAGGCACTTAAGACCCTGAGGTCCCCTACAATGCGGGGAGATCTGCCTGTCGCTGCAGACCGTGCTGACGGTGGCGGCAGAGGCGGCGGTGATGACGGAGAGGCGGGGTGGGCGGTGGCGGTGGCGGTGGC